AAACTTTACTGATATGTGACCAGTGTCTTTTTTTTGCCCCCACGCCCTCCCGTGTACAGGGTGGGTACAATCAAAAGTAAGGTCCACGAAATGGAACGGAGTTTTCTTGCATCTTATCAATGGCTTACGTTGGAGGATGATTAACTTCGCATGTCGCAAAAGTGTAGGAGTGGATGAGAAGCCCCAAGAGACTTTGAACAAATTGTCCTGTGAAACTTACCTTCCGTACCCCTGACTGGTGGAGAATGTTGTACGACACTTCCAAAGAGCGGTGTGTTGTGGCTTCGTGAGACCTCTCTCAAGGGCCGTAGACGTCTACCATATGTCGAATTAATTCTCTAGCTATTTATATTGTGAGCTCCCGTAGGATCACGTGTCGTAGACAACATGGGCTCGTGGGCTAACATCTGCATTGTCCTGAGGAAAGATGTCGCTCAGTATGCAACATTGTTCCGTTGTTACCAACACTTAGAGATGAGTTATGTTCGACGTTGGGCAACGCACTGGTACCTTTCCAATGATCCCCGTTCCAGACGTCGGCTGCGGACAGACCAGCGGCATTCAAGTCCATCTTCAAGATGTCTATCCATCCCTAGGTCGGCTGTTTGGACGTTTGCCGGCGAAAACAACTCTGTCAGCGGACTTGCATACAGGGCACATCATTGGTTGAGGATTTTGGTCGAGCCCGTACGACCCCCCCCCCTTTTTGGGGGTTCGGTACGACCCCGCCCTCTTTTTACGGCTTGATTTTTTTCCACAGAAATATGTACACTATGGGTTTTTGTAACACAGGCTGATATCACATGACATACAGACAAAACAGGCAGCACTTTTCCAACTCAACATACCATGGAACGTATTACCATTGATAGCTTCAAAAGTCAGGGGAGATTTCTTGCTTTCGGAGACGCCTACCGCATAGCTAACCTGGACTAGAGACTGCAGCGCTGCAAATGCTGAGATGAGATGCTTTGGATTCAGAGCTTGCTGAACAAATATTGCCAGAAGTGCAATCCTGAGAAAACTTCAAAGATGGAAAACTCCAAGTGCTCAAACACCTTGGTCGAGAGCTCCAAGAACCAAACACGAGCCCATAAACTGTCCTCCATGGGGTACGAAGGAAAAAAGTGCTTGGAGTTAATCAACTCCTATGGTTGTCACGCACCTGACCACTGCTAATTCTTCTGACTAATTACTGTTCTCTTTTGGAGCACGGCCAGCCTAAATGATTCATGCGAAAGCAGATTTCACTAAACAGCTTAGAAGTCACACAAGAGAAGATTGAGACTCGTATTGGGGACCTTTATAGGATAAGGGGTAGGGAGCGAATCATTAACAAGGACCGATCAGAAGCTTACTAAAACCTAAAGCTGCACCAGCTTCACCTTCTTATACTCGAGATCCCTGAGATGTGATAGGTGTGGCTGCATCCTTGAACTTAAGCTAAAGGAGTCCACGCCTCTGGTAAGATATTTCATCCTGACAAAATTGTTTTCGCGTCTTGTCCAACACAGAACAAGATGACAGTTGTCATAGACTGGAATATTACACGAGTAACAAGTTCCGTGCCATGTTCCATAAGGAGTGTAAGTGAGCAAAACCTCTGGAAACGTTTTTTGAGCAGCTTGCTAGATTCCTACTTTCAAAGTGACAAACAAAATGGAACAACTGAAAAGTAGGAGTTTTGATTTCCGATCAGCAAGCATGCCTCCACCTATGGGTTAACTGGTACATGAGTATTCACGAAGGGAGATTATTTCCTGGTCATTTTGCTTAGCTGGAGGGAAACTTGGACAGAGTGTACTGGAAAGCAGGCAATGGCCGGAGTAACGCAAGTATATTGTGGCTCAACAACATTATTCACGCAGACAATCACTTGCAAAGACAAGATTCAGTTTTCATCGTCTGAGAATGGATGAATGAAACGGCCGACTAAGTTGACGCAATGTAAGGTTTTCAGGAAAAGTTCTAGTTGAAGAGAGCATGATAGAGAGACCTGAAAGCGAATTCACTTTCACGCGGAACTCGCAGAAGAAGGAAAACGTCTCTCGATTCCAAAAACCGCGGAAATGGAAGAAATGCAGAAATGCGGAATCTGCAGATTCTGCATCTCTCCCAATTCCGCACGATGGCAGGAACCAATCGGTTGATCCTAAACCTCATAACCCAAACCTAATATGTTAAAGCAGACTCATATCACACAAGAAAATCCGGAAAATAAATAATAAAAGAATAACAAAATAAACACGAGCGATAGCAAGCCAGCCGAAATCAGCTGATTAAAGGCCGAGGTACGGGAGGGGGGAATTCTGGGCAGGACCCACATCAGCAAGGTGGTTACAGGTGGTTTGATTGGAGCGCGAGTTTTCAGGAAAGTAGGGTGTCTTTAAAGGGCTATAACTTCCTTAATAGCAGATCTGTGGGAAAGAAAGGGACGCAGTAGTATAGAGAAAGATTTGAGCTTTCCAAAACATACTGACACGTTCATAAAGGTCGCCCAATTCATGGAGAAAATTTGCGTTGGCGAGTTTTTGGGGAGTTTTTTGGGTGGTTTGCAGCGCGAATTTTACAGGTTCGAACCAAAAACCAATATTTCTCTAGAACCTCAACAGTTTGGGAATCTGAAACTACTGTCGAGTTCTAAAAGATTTCCTCTTTTTAAAAACTACTTAAGCGTTTTTTGAAGCTCCCGGGAGTCATGAGATAATTGCGTTGGGGATTATTTGGGGAACACTCCGAATTGTTCGAAGGTCCATTTTCTGTGTACGGTTTCAAGCGAGCATGTTCGAATAACCAGAAATACATGTAGAACGTATCCTGCGGTGGAGCAGGAGCAGAATGTGGTTTGTTTAGCGCCAATCATGCTAACTTTTTCCAGCAGTTGGTCTCCTTTATCGGAATCAGCAATTGGATGAACCGCGCACTTAGGTCCGCGCAGAGGTGATGGGATGGTGCAATTTGTGCGTAATGTCTGTCCACGTGAGCAAATATGTCTATAGGATTCAGGGAGGTCCATGGTGAACCTGTGCACTTGTTCACAGTGTTTTCGTTGCGTATGATGGAGGGTGTCCCTGTCGACGCCGCCAGATTCGTGCTCCGACAATTGCTGATTCCGATGAAGGAGACCAACTGCTAGAATCCGATACGAACGATATGGTAGTCCTGTCGTTTGTCGAAAAAAAACAGGTTGGCTCGGCGCCAAGCGCGATCGCGGACACGCCCCATCATCCGCAGCGAACCAGAGTACGAGTTGTACTGTTTAGTCACTTACGAGATGATGTCGACTTTTTATATTTCCAGTTACTTCGGATTACTTTGATGAATGAAAGTTTTGTACTATTTTTTACATATCTGAGTTCTCTACAAAGCAAGTTTCGCTGTATAGGACTCAGCACACTACAGGTCTCAGCGCACAGGACACCTTTGCGCTGCTCGTTAATGGCTACCGCACTCATTACGACCCCCACCCTCTCCTGGCGGCCAAATGCGACCCCCCCCTATTGGGGATTCCCCAACCAACGATGTGCCCTGCTTGCATGTGGCGTCAGGAGGTCTTCGTTGAACATGACCATACCAGCGTAGGCGATTAGCGACAAGGGAGTTGACGGTCGGCTGGACTTCGATCCTACCATGAATGGTTTCATTAATTCGTTCGATAGTGTATTTTCCAATCTCCATCGCAGCATTTTCATCTCCAAGACAGCATAGGCTCTTGTTTCCACCGCCGTCATCTGATTGGACCCCGCTCCGTAGGTGGCGACTGGTGGTCAGAGGCGTACCGTCAATCACATTTGGAAAGCTTACTGTGGCAGCGCACATGTACTCGGTAATGTTGATGTTCAGTTTGAGTCCATGTGCAGCGAATTCCTTCTTCCATAGGTTTACGTGCCTTTCTAACTTGTTCTTGGACCGATCAATCAGCAGCACGTGATCGGCATATCCTAGCGTCAAAGGTGGCTTTTTTCCTAGTGTTCCTTGTAGCATACACAGAATGAACAGCAGTGGCGAAAGCGACGATTCTTCGCGTACACTTAGGGTAACCGGGAATAGCGGATTAAGGCGTCGCCGACAGTATCCGCCAATAAGTTGCCAACATGAGCTGCACCCGCTTCACAGTACTAGCTTTCCTGCACTTCGATATCTCGAGAACTTTTCGCGATGGACACTATATGAAGTTTTATCAGTGTGTGTGAGTTTCTTGATCTCTGTATACATTATAAAGATTTTTTGGCCCACAGTGTGCTTGGCAGCGGAAGCTGGATTTCATGCGGAAACTACTGTCATAAATTTCACAGGATTCCTCAGGGAGAAAAGTTGTCTGCAGACCCAAAAGTAGATCTGCACGCAGAAAAGGTCTGCCTGTATCACCGGTATTGATTCAAAAACGATGGCGCTGGGTAGTGGCCCAGCAGTAGTGGTCTTTAATGAGCTCCACAAGAAGGCTGAAGCTACTTTCCAGATAACTCAGAGAGTCTAATTTCTTGTTCCTCTATAGCTGGGACGAGACAGCATCAGTCGAAGACGACATCTAAAAAATCATGGATCTCACTTGCTATGCATCACACCCAATTCACTTGATAGCCTCTAGCGACCACTTGATTTTTTTCTTCAACCTCTTCTTCAGAGAGAGGAACGTTTGGTGGTAGACGTGTTCAAACAAAAAAAAGTCTATATCTCCCCATCGCAGTCGTTGTAGCGTTGGAAAGGTGGAATCAAAAAATCAAAGTTCTCATTGTTAGTTGTGATCACGCAAGACTTTTCGACAAGCCTGACTTCAGATCCCCATTGTGAGCTAAACAACATAATGTGTTTTATATGACTAACGTAATGTACGTCAAAACAAAAGAAGTGCCGCAGGAACATCTCCACGGTCACGAAGAACACTTCAAGCAATAAAACAACCGAACCCTCTTCGTTTTGCCAAGATCTAGAAGTCAAAATAAGGGCTGCTTATTATAACCGAGCTCAATCGAAATGCTTAGACTGTCGCTGCGGGCCTGATGCTGATGGTAATATGTGCAATGGCATCACCACAATCTGTACTCCTCGCTCTAGTCACAACAACTATTTGCTGCGGTGCCATCATCCTGTTCGCTACTCAAACAAAATTCGACATTACCAGGTAACGTTCTCAGCAGGTCTTCCACGTCAACCAATGTACTGAACACTGTTGCAGCTACGTCTTTGTCATTTATGCTGCTGGAATGGCAGTCTTCGTTTTCGGCATTGTTTTGGGGATTCTAAGTTTATTCATATACATTAAGGTACGCCTTCACTCGTTCATATAAACTGAGATACACCTTGAAGACAGCGCCCGCGATCAACTTTGCTAGGTTGTAGGACTCAGAATTGTTGGAACATGTGGCCAGTAAAGCATTGATCAAAAAAAAGTTTAAAAAAAGCGCAGCAAGAGCACAGAGTAAGACTCTAGTCGATTGGACGCATCTGGACAAGTCTCGCAGAGAGTTCCCGAAGTCCATCGCCGCCTCGTTGCGGCTAATTCTCATGTGTTGTTTTAGAAGGGAGTAGCTAATCTATCTGAAGAAGCGTCCGCGACCAACCAATGTGAAGAAACCCTGTACTGTACAAGATTGCAGAGTCCGCAACCATAGAGGATATCCTACTCATAAGACTCGAAATCGACTGATAGACGAAGGCGGAGTCAACAATAAGCTGACTGCGCCTCGTGGGTTCATCCCACCTCCACTGGTTTCCCGTTATCAATCTGATGGCATTGATAAATAATCGCTAGATTTCTAGCGTTCGCTTCGTACACCGATAGAGGGATTAACTTAGAGATAGATTAGATCTGCAAAGAAAAAAGGAGAAAAACAGAGGAACATTCAAATAAAACATTTTCGTGCAGTTTCGTGTTCGAGAGGTAAAGAGTTGTTATGAATATTAGGAGAGAGGCCAGAGAAAGCAACGAAAGGACATGCAAACAAACAATGCAGCAGAGAGGACATGTATCAGAGCGGGCGAAGTCACCTGAGCAACTGTGTGCTTTACCGACGCTGCCCACCACTTGCTGGCGTGAAACTTAGACAGGTTCCAATCGTTTCAATCCACACTGCCCCTCCCAAAGAGCTTGGACAATTACAAGTGATCGTGGGCTCCGCCCTTACATTGAAACACAACGTGGTATTGCTTATACTCGATTATGCCGCAGTCGCTGGGCGTGCCGGAGGGTGGGTGCCTGGGAAGTCTCGTGAAACGCTGTAGCGCCTGAAGCGAAAACGGCTGTGCTTCCGTTGACCTAAACTGCACATCCCAGCGATGGTGTAGGAGTTCTGCGTGCTTCACTCGAGCATGGAGTTGTTTGTGTGATGTTTCCTCTTGATACAAGTGTTGTCCTATCTTGTAGTCGACAAAGCCATAGCACTGGGACCGGAATATCCAGCCAGAAGTGCAGCTGCCACCACTTCTAAATGAAGAGCGCAGCCATGAACTATCCATCTTCAACGTGCAACTGCTACTGCGATGTGCAGTCTGAGCGTCGTGGCAAACAAACACGCAAACAGGCAAGCACAAACTAATAATGATATGATGGTAATAGTTAGCTAAAGAAGGAGAACTGCGCATTCTTCAAATCCCAGTATGACACTTGAAAAGGATGAATTTTAACAGGTGCTTCATATTATATACTCAGCAATCGCGTGCATTCTGTTCATGGGCTATCTTGCGGTGGATATTCAGGTGCACCTTCTTTGTTACTTACTTATAGCTGACTATCTGCCGTCGTATTTGAGGTCACGAGAGACTTGGAAAAGGCATCAAGTTGTTCTTCTTTCAGATGATTATAGGCGGACGGAAATACGAAATTTCGCCGGAGGAATACGTTTTTGCGGCACTGATGCTCTTCGTCGACATTTACGAAATATTTGTCTTAATTTTAGGCTTGTTCAATGCGGCTGAATAAGCCAAACGAAGAGCCATAATCGATCAATAATTTGAAATCGTTTACGAGAAAAAGGAAAGTAAATAAAGTACGAGTAAAAAGTGATAAGTGAAGGAGGTGTCTTAGTGTTGCTTATTCTTGTTCTAAACACAATTTCCTTATAATATTGTGATATATCGGCCTCCGATTTCACATTACACACGGGGCCGCCCTGTGTGTTATGCGAGCATCATGTATCAGCTGAGCAGAATTGGCATAAAGTTGGGCCCTCGTTAGGAACGAAGGGACGTTTTTGCGCTTCTAGCCTTAAGGCCGGTGCAGCCCTGGCGGTTCTACTTCTTCCATCTTTGGTGTTTAACGGCGCATGTCCACCATGTCTTGAAAACAGTTCTCGCAACCAAGTCACCCACGAATTGCCTCCGTGCATCTGGCATTTGGATCCTCCCTCACAGAGAGTGTACTACATTCGCAACCCGAGAAACGAAAGTGGCTCACAGACGTGTGTCTATTGTGCCCTCTTTGCTTTTCACTCTGCAAGACAGCGACTTACACGCGGAATTGCATTTGTGCCTTGTTGCCTGCAGCGCAGTTTCACAAACTTGTCGGAGAAAATCCCAGCTTGTCGGCTTTGCTGCAAGCTCATGAGTTCTTCTCTTCTTCGCCGGATACGTTTTTGAGAACAATACATTAGTGACGGCCCCTTCGCAGAGCGAGATGCGTTTACACCTGTTTAAAATTAGCCAGCGATTGCTATTGATCCGTTCAAAAGCTTAATAGCATGCTTGCCGCAGTTATATTTTCGTTTTTTTTTTTCGTTTTTTGTATTTCCGTCCGGAGAACCCCCAGGAGGCGCTCGGCTAATGGTGAAGAGCGGAGTTGGTGCTCACATCAAGGCTCAATTCCGGGGCTTCATTATCCCCTGTCTGTCCGCGCCATAGCGCGCGAGTTTAGGTTGGGTGATAAAAACAGACTGTGCAAAAGGCGTATACCAAGGGTTAGAAAACATGGCGGTAAGTAGATCGACTCACGGTATGCTCAGAAGTGCGGTTCACGGCCTTACCCGTCTAATTTTACGCCTAATTAGTGGAAGTGCTGTGCTCACACTGTTTTCCTAAACTCATGGTCTCGATCTTTGGCAAGCTGTGTTTTTGAAGAACAATCTCCCAAAATGCCGATGAGTTCCTTGTGATGGCGTGTGTGTTTTATTATTCCCACTGCTTTCAAACAGCCTCATTGAGCGAGCTCTCCAGCCCTGCTGGCGACTTGACACGCTGCGGCTCCCTGTGCAACCCCTGGCTCATAAATCGTTTTCGCAGCCCCTACTGCTAACTGTCATCCAGAATAAGGAATAGATAACTGATTGCTAAGCAAATTAGAAGAAAAAGACCGAAAACAGTGGAACATAAAATTGCTTCGAAAAGGCTCTGTGCATGAATTTATAACTGCGGCAAGCAATGCAGGACATGCTTTTGCCATATTAATCGCATCGCTGCTATAGTTAAGCAGCGCGGAAACGCATCTCGCTTTGCCGAAGGGCGCCTACTAACGTATTGTTCTCAAAAACGTATCCAGCTGACAAAAAGGAGAACTTGTGGGATTGGGACCAAATCGACAAGCTAGGATTTCCTCCGATGAGTGTGTGAAGCTTCTTACTGCGCTGCAGGCAACACAACGCACACACGCAATTCCGCGTGTAACCTGTCTAGCAGAGTTGAAGAAAAAAAGAGGGCTTACTAGGAACACGTCTAAGGGCTACTTATTTAGTTTAGTTAACAAATGTAGTTCACTCTCTGCGAGAGCGGACCGAATGCCAGATGCACGTTTGCAATTCGTGGGTGACTTGGTTGCGAAGACTGCTTTCAAAACATGGTAGACATGCGCCGTTAAATATCAAATGTGGAGGGGTAGAACCGCAGGCGCTGCACCGGCCTTAAGGCTGTAAGCTCAGGTTCCTTACGAGGCCCAACTTGATGTAAAGCCTCCTCAAACTTCGTTGATACATGAGGCCCGCAATACCCCTAGGGTGCGCGAAATGTGAAATAGGAGGCCATGTATCACAATTTTTTATGGGGACTTTGTTTGAAACAAGAAAAAGGAACACCAAGACATTTCCTTCACTCATCAGTTTCCTGCTGTGAACGATTTCAAATTATAAATTGGTTTCCGACTCTTCGTTTCTGTGCTTATTCGCAGCATTGAATGAGCTCAAAATCAAGATGAATATTCCGTAAATGTCAACAAAAAGCATCGGTGCGACGAAAACGTCTTCCCGGCGAACTCAGTATTTCCGTCCGCCTATAATCATATGAAAGAAGAGCGAATTGATGCACTTTTCCAAGTCTCTATTCGTGACCTTAAATAAACAGCAGATATTCGACTATTAGTATGTAGCAAAGACTGTGCACCTTAATATGCACCGCAAGATAAGCCGTAAACGGAATGCACGCGATTGCTCAGTATATAATGTGAAGCATCAAGAACAAAACTACATTTTCAATTTCTCTCCACTCCATTGCTTGGGATGTGAAGTGCGTGCGCGATGTGTGTGCGTCGGAAGCGCAGCCGTTCGCGCTGTAGACGCTATAGCGTTTCATTCGGAGCGCGGTGGTATTCCAATACTGCTTTTCGGAAAAAAGACGCATAGCAGCAAGAAGTTTTCGCTCGTTTGATAGGGAGAACTGAGAGGAAGAAGCACTCTATATCAATATACAAGTTTTGTTTGTACTATGCGTGTAAATCGAGAATCAATCGGTTAGGGGATTCCTGCGATCATGGGTCACTTAGAAAGTTGTTTCGTTTCAATTTTCGCCACTTTTCTTCCTACCCAACTTTTCGACCGCTATTTCCCCCCCTGTTAGCATTGAGCAGCTCGATATGGAATATATATTACAGGTGCTACCTTATTCAGGTCACATCTCAAAAGCGCATCCTTTAATGCCCGATTTCTAGCACAATTGTGGTTATTTCGTTATAGCTGCGTGAGCTGCTCATATCCCGTAGTCAATCTTTACAACAGGTTAAAATTCATGTCGCGTGATAATAGTTTCAGCGATTCGATGGATGTTACAAGTTCATTCCCCGTCATTCATAACACTAATCAGTATATAGTTCTCACTGTATTCTGATCTCAGATCCCGAGAGGTGCTATGGTTTTCCTGTTCTGTGGTACTCGCTAGAGCAAGGCTCAGTGGACCCATGGATCAATGGTCGTTGTTGTTTTGATTTGTAATCCAGATCGGGAGTGCGTTTTGCTATCCGGGACCAGGTGAGGGCACTCGATGCTCACCTACACTGAGATCGATACCAGGATTTTGGTATATAGTAGTCACATAACTTGTACTGAACTTTACGAAATAGGAACTCTCAGATTATGTTTGCGGGTCTCCAAGACAAAGATCTGCCAGATTTTTGATCGTCCTACGAAGAGGCGTTTGCCGTGGTCCCTAAAACAGGTTGGGCATCTAAATGCCGTGTTGCTGGCGGCCATTTCTGATAGAATTTAAAGTATAAGGAGCTTTCTATGCATTGATTTCCAGTAAAAGTGGTGCACGACAGTGTGCAAAGTGGTTTCGAAAACGAAGTAGCCATCTCGATGTCCATCGTAATCCTCTGCCACAGTCGGGCCTCCTCATGCTCATTAGCAGCTGATGCTCATTAGAAACTAAAACTGACAGCTATTTCTGCTGATTCATGGATGATCTCCATGACGTGGCAGTCAGTGGGCCCATCCACGTGTTAGATGCTCAGGTGCCTAGGGCACACTACGCTACTCAAGGTGGACATCAAAGGATTAAGTACACGGGTCTCGACCGGAACAGCTTGTATGTGTTATGGTTGCATCGAAGCTTTTGATTTCACCGATTACGGGGTGCGCTCCTATGCTGACTACACACAACATTTTCACAAGTTTTGTTTTTTTATTCATGGAACGTTATGCCTGTTCTACTCAAGGACAGAGCTTCAGATTTTGATTTAGGCGTCATGGGTATTTGTCTGTCACTTTAACTTATCAGCTTCTTTCGTTCTTACAGGAACTTGTTACTGGGAGACCTTCTTTTCCTTCTCTGACGCAGACTTTATTACGTCTACATTCAATGGAAAGTAGAACCATGATATTGCCTGCGCTCAAGGTGATGAGTTCACCGCCAGAGTTTTGTCAGGTGAATCTGAAATAGAGTGAATAGAGATCTGAGATGTATCAGCTATTATGACAACACTGGCTTGTCTTACACTCCTCAGTAAAGGATACAGTAATTCATTTGAAGTGGATCGTTTACCAAACTGGCGAATTCCCATGGTCGACTTAACCGTCATTGTGTCGTCTCAACAACTGAAAGCGTGTCAAGTTGCTCCAGCTGCTCAAGTTGATCGTCACCATTCGTCGTGTATGCAAGATGAGATTGGATCTCTTATTTATCATCGGCAGTATGCAAGGGGCTTCATCCAGACGAGGAGACATTCGAGCGCACTGGCGAAGTCCATCTAAGTCGCCATAGATTGCTGAAGCGTCGAATGGTTTTCAGCGGCTTGATCGATGAAGATAAATGGTCCCTTAGTCGTACAAAACCACCCGATACCGAGCTGCAGAATGGATACCCTAGATCCTACTTGATCCCTTGGTCTTGCATATCTGAGCTTCTCGACCTTGTCAAAGCATATAGCACAGTCAGACAGTTTGCTCTCCAGGTTTACAGTGTGTGCATATGTGAAGGTTTTTTGCGTCAGAGAGAAGTGTTACCTGTTAAGAGTAGTTTGGAGCGAGAGAAATTCAAGGAGGTCCCGTAGGAGGACAAGCAAAATCTATGCATGCAGACCCTAGATTATACGAGTAGGTACGAAAGAAAATCGTGTCACTACTGGTCACAACACGACCGGTCACAACAGGACAGTGGTCGGTGATGCACAGGAATGAGTCGTCGTGTGCCGCCTCTACATGCTTGCTGCCGACTTATAGCTAGACCAGTAATAGACACAAATGCATTGTTTCAAAGTGTCAGAATGAGGAGCTCATGGACCTTCAT